AAACCGGGTGGCTCCTTGGAGGCAAGGATTCTGAGGCTCTGTCTAACTTACTTTGGGCATGTTGTGAGGAGAGACCAGTCCTTAGAGAGGGACATCATGCTTGGGAGGGTGGAGGGACGGCGCAGGAGAGGAAGGCCCTCTATGAGGTGGATTGATTCAGTGACCGGGGTAATCGGGATGGGTGTGTCAGAGGCAGTGCGATTGGCACAGGACAGAGTGGAGTTTAGGGCTGTTGTACATAGGGTCGCTATGAATCACAGGTGACTCGACGGCACATAACAACAACAACAACATAAACCCATGTTATATGCCCAGCACCATGGGGCTACACCATCACCATTAGCCATTCTAACAACTACTTTGCCAAATAGTTGTATTGCCCTTCTTTTATAGATGAAATAGGGATACGTAGGATTTGAATTCAGACTTAATGAGTGTTATTTTTGGACCTCGCTACAAGTCTACAAAAAAACACATAGGACAAATCTAGCCTTGTCTCCTGTCATTGTCAATAAAGTTTTATTGAAACATGATTACCCATTTCTTTACATATTTGTTGAAGGCTGTTTCAGACTGCAATAGCAGAGTTGAGGGTTGTTTGTTGTTATGTACCACTGAGTCTGAGCTGACCCATAGACAACTTCCAGCAGGTTTTCAGAGGCAGTTAAACACACAGGAGATTGCCCACCTTTCACCGGTGGAACTGCTGGTAGACTCAAACCATGTGGATATGGATTGGCAGTGCTGCCTCCTTAACCACTAGGTACCAGAGCTCCCTTGCAAATGAAACTTGCTGTCCTGCAAAGCTAAAAAGACATACTGTCTAGACCTTTGAAAAAGTTTGCTAACCCTTGCTCTAAGACATTCCTGATAGTGGCCAAACTCAGTGCCTTTCTTTCAGTTTAGACGCAGGGCCGACCTCCATCGGGTGACTATCTCATATTTCTCCTGAGGCTTGTGGGTTTGAACTTCCAGCCTTTCTGTTATAACACTCCCACGCTTTACCAGAATGCCTACACAGACTGGATGTGAAAACCTTGATCTTTGTTCTTTCTTTTCTCCCTTTTTTCCCTTTTACTACATTGTGTCCTTGAAATAATTTTGTTAAGCTTTTGTGCAGGTAGAAGCTTTTACCTCTGAGTTTAAATGCCAGTGAGTAATGATTTGGTTTATTTATTTAGAGATTTTCTGTCAGGCGTCTGAAAATAGATTGTCTGAGATTCTAAATGGCTTTCCAAGAAGCTTGACTTTTTTCCATCGATTTTTCTTTTTTGAGAGAAAAAGATAATATTCTCATGTGATGTGTTAGCAATGTCTATTGCTTTTAATTTTGATAGTGAGGCTTCTTTTGTTTTTGCTTGATGTTGAATTCATATTATATGGACAAAGTCTAGCCAAGGTAGAGGTGAATAAAATATTTTCAGTTTGATACTCTTATCAATCATTTGATGATATTATTGATGTAATTGATCAGTAAGATTTCTTAGAGGCTTATCTTGAAGTAAGTTGTTGTTAAGTGCCCTCGAGTCGCATATGACTCATAACGACTCTATGAACAGCAAATCTAAACCCTGCCCTATCCTGTGCCAACCTCACTCTCTGACACACTTGAGCTCATTGCTGCAGTCACCGTGTGACTCCACATGGCTGAAGGCCTTCCTTTCTCTTGCTGTCTTTCCAAGCATGATGTCCTTCTCCAAGAATAACCTTAGGCAGGGTTTTTAAATGTCAGTGTACATAAGAAACATCGAGGGTACTTGCAAATGTAGATTCTCAGACTCCAACCTGAGAGAACCTCGGTCAGTAAATCTGCAGTAGCTTCTCATGAGGAAAAAAATTGGTTTGGGCTATGGATGAAAGCTTAATGCAGTGACTCTGGAGAGTTCTAATACGTAGCATATTCATGGCCAGTGTTGTGTTTTTAAAAAGACCTGGTTTCTTTTACCTTGATTGTAATTGTTGTTATGGCTGTTGTATACCATCAAGTTGGAACTGACTCATAGCTGACCCTCCAGCAGGTTTTCAGAGGCTGTAAATTGCATGGTAGCTGATTTCTCTTTCTCCCATTAAACAAACAGATAGTGGATTCCAACCACATGCATTTATCATAGTAGTGCAGTTTCTTACCACTAGGCCACCAGAGCTCCCTGCCAAGTGATTGTACTTTGCAACTGTAAACTTTTTTCAGAGTTGCTAATTGCTTATTTAAATAAAACACTATCGGAAAAAAAATTCTGCTACCATAAATGGATTTTAACTACAACTTCCAATACTACTAATAAAAATAATATT